AACATTAAAAAAAAAAAAAAAAAAAAAGAACAAACAAACAAACAAACAAGAACAACAACAACTTAGGTCATTGAAAGTAAGGTAGCAATTAAATAAGCGAACTGTAATCAACGTAAGTGGCATCCCTGAAAGCTTCAGGATCAAACGTATTAATGAACGAGAGATCTGTTGGGGCAAGAGCTGTTGGATCCGGAGGTTGAAATCCAGCCGTTAAATCCGTAACATCTGGCCCCGCCGGGAGCTCAAGCGACGACCCCACTACGCCGGAGAGAACTCCCACTGCAACTGCACCGGCCACCCCCAGTGCTGATCCCCATACCGACTTTTTCTTCTTCGACGTCGACCGTTGCTCAACCGGAGATGCACGTGCCTGCACGTGAGTTGGTTGTGGTGAATATGGATTTGCATACGGCGGCGCTGCTGATGGTCCGATGTTGTACGGTGGATAGGGTGACAGTGGCGCTGCTGATGGTCCGGCGTTGTATGGTGGATACGGCAGCGTGGAGTTAGGCGGTGACGGCAGCGTTGCAGATGGTCCAACGTTGTACGATTGATATGTCGGCGGCGGAGTGTAGTGATATTGCAACGGCGGTGGATATGGACAGGATGGTTGTGGTGGTGGTGGGTAGCTGCCGTATCCTGCCGCAGGTGGTGGCTGAGGATAGCAATATTGCGGTGGATATATGCCAGTGCTTCTGGTAACGTGAAAAGAAAATACTAAATGATTGGTTTAGCTTGTTTTAACGTAAAAACTTATATTAGAGTATTTTTTTTAAATAATTTATTATTTTTCTTTATATTACCTCGTGGGGAAACCAGCCGACGGTGTATCACTCGCCGGAGAACCACCAAATTTATATTCGAAATTCAACGCGCCCACCGTCTGTCCCGACGGTTTTCTAACCGGATACGAAACAGCAACGTATCGCATGGATTTTCCATCTCCAGCAGATTGCAAAAGCTCCGCAACCGACACGTGGATTTCCCCTAAATCTCTGTCTCCCCTCCCATCCTCGTATTTAAGAGCAAAGACAAGACTAGTCTCTCTACCTTGCTTTACTCCCTCCACGTCGACGGCGAATTTCACCGCAAAGTTCCACGTAGGATTTCCGCCGCCGTCCTTGTCCACGTTGGTCCGAGCCCTCTGCTGGTTCACCGCGGCGCCGATGATTGAAACGACGACGTATAGCTTGGGTTTGGACGCTGGGTCAACTCCAGTAAGGCCTCTGGCTGAAACTATATTAATGTCTAAACACATGGGATCTGTATTTAGAGCCATTGTTCTGAAGAAGAACAGAAGAAAAAACTGAAGGCTTGAAAATTTGAGTTTGCTTGAGACCTTTTTAATTGCGAAGGAAAGGGCAAAAAAGACTTTCAACAACGTAAATGTCAAACCAATTAAATCTTTTTTTTTTCTTTTGAGAAATTGAATCCAATTCATGGAGTAAATACAAATTAAAATGAGGACAGAGTCTTTTAAGATATGTTATCCACAAAAAAATAAAAAATAAAAAATAAAAAAATCTTTTTTATTTAATATATTTGGGTTACTTTCTAATAAATTGTTTATATTATACTTTACCACTATTAACGACTATTTCCACGAGTAAATCTAGATTTGAGGATTTAAGGATCCGACACACCTCAATTATATTTTTTACTTAAAATATATTTATTTATTTATTTATTTTGTAACTATTACTTCTAAAATTCTATTATATATAACATCCCATTCTTTAATTTTAAATTAATTAAGTGTTTAAATATAGGAACTAATTGTTACGAATATTAAACTATAAGTATTATATTATTTAAGGATTTAGTTCGAAATTCTTATAATTTAAATTTTACCCTTTAAATGGTTAATTTAAAAAAAGAATTAGAACCAAAATAAAAATATCCAATTTTTTAAACTAGGTTGAATTTGATAAGCTATTCAAAGAACAACTTGCATATAAAGCTATTGTTTATGTAAGCTTGTGACAAGGTTCTTTTTTATTTAATAACCAAGTTGAAGAATCATTCAACCAAAATAAAATTTTAAAAGCTCGAGAATGGGTTTTTTAACGTAATTTTTAAGTAAATTTTTCATCGGCGATCATTCGAAGTGTTGACGTCAATAGTGTAAGCGTGAGGAATGCACAATAATGACAATGTAATAATTGTTGTTTACAATAGTAATATATAATTATATGTTATTAGCTCTAGGATTGATAGAATTCATTGAGAAAATAATTGCAGCAAATATATAATTACGTGCAATTAATTAGGTATAGTGTATAATGGATTGAATAATAACTCATAAATTTAAATTCTGAAAAGGATAAAAAAGGAAAATATTATTATTTTGTTGAAAGAGAATAAATGGTGGGCTGCAAAAAATATATTTTTTTATTTGTATTTCTCAACTTTTAATCTGTATTTATATTAATTTTTTATTTTCTAATTTTAAGTTATCATTTATTTGTCGATTCAATAATTTAGTAAATAAGGCAATAATTAACATTTTAAAGAATGTTGATTTGAAAACATTTGAATTGCTGATTTTTTTTTATGGAGAGATATATTAATTTAGTCTATTTAATTACCATTTTAACCTTATAATCATTAAAACAATAGCGGTTTTTATTTAATGCCCCTTTTGGAAACTATACAAAATAAATAAATAAATAAATAACTATTTGTTGGCATTTATGGGCGTGGGAGCCAACCAATCAGTCTGTGAGTGATAATAGGATGGGTCAAATATGGTATCACAAACGAATTCAGCAAACAAACAGCTAAGCCCATCCTTTCCTTTGGTAAACCTAACTTTATTCCACACATTTTATATCTCACTCCTTTTATTATAAAATTTTACAAATTATTTTCCAATATTTAAGAGTTTAATTATATTTAAAATTTTGAAGGTATGATTGAGGGGTTTTTTTTTTTTTTATAAATGAAAATGTTCATATTATTATTATTTTAAAAAAATTTTAATGACAAAGATATTTTAAAACCTTTTTAAAAAAGTTAGGTATTAATGAAACTTTTTAAAATTTAAGTATATTTTTGAGACACTATTTTGTAAGTGCACAAACCCACTCGTGTTAGTCTTTTAGATATCGTTGTTAGTTTCGTAGTTTTTAAATAAGTCTACTAGAGAGATGTTTTCATACTCTGAGTAAGGAATGCTTCGTTTCCCTCTTCAATTAATGTGGGATCTCACAATCCACCCCTTGGAGGTCCAACGTCCTCAGTGGCTCACTGCTCTCTGTCTGGCTCTAATACCATTTATAACAGCCCGAGCCCACCACTAACAGATATTTTCCGTTTTAGCCCGTTTCGTATCACTATCATGCTCACGTATTAAAAAAGTATATAATAAGGAGAGATTTCTACCTCTTATAAAAAATGTTTAATTCCCTCTCTAACTGTTATGAAATCTTATGTATTAAAACTTTCAAAATTTTAAAAGAATTTATGTCTCGATCTAAAAATTAATTAATATTGAACCGACCAATCACTTTATCAATGATTTAGACTATTGGTATAAAAATGACCCCTGGCTTTTGTAAAGAAACAGCAAAACAATTTGTTTTTTCCTTTTATAAAAATAACTTTATTCGGAGCATATTGAAATTAAAGGCATTGTTATATAGACCGTAGCTTAAAAGTTAAAATTTTATAGCATTTTGTAAAATTTAATAATTTAATTAAAAATTTAATTGTAACAGCCTCAATACTCTAGAGAGAGTTTAAAAAAATATATATTTCATTAAGAGTTCTTCGTCTTCTCACTCTCATGATATCATTAACATGATTAACTCTGATACTATGTTAAGAATTATAGATATAAGTGGGATTAAAAGTCCGAGAAATATAGGTGAAATCGAAAGTCCTATTATCATTAATGTTCACAGTGTTTAAATAGAATACGACCTACCAACTAAATCTTAATAATCATATAAAATATTATACTAACCAAATCTCGAAGATAATATAAAATATCATTATTAATTAAAATGGATAATTTCAAAATATTAAAATTAAAATTGAGAATGATTATCTTTAGCATTTTGCGTTTTCCATTTTATGTTATATTTGGTTAAATTACATATATACTCATACTTTCTAACGGTATATTTATTTAGTCTTCATTTTAAAATTATTTATTCTTTAATTTTAAAATTTTAAAATTTTAAATCAAATTTTTAATTTAAAAAGGTTAAATAGTTATTTTCGATATATAAATAAATATTTTAATTTTTTAAGGATAAATTACGCATTCTATGTATCTTAAATTGATAATTTTAATTTAAACCATGAACCTTTTTATCTATTAGATTTTGTTTAACAAATATTAGTTATAATTTGATGAATTAAATCTTTAAAATGCCTAGTTTTTATTTTTTAAAAATTAGATAATTTATTTGAAAGTCATCAATCATTTAAAATAAAGGTATAAAGGTTTAAAGAGACTGTAAATCAATTTAAATGGATAAGTTTTAAAATTTCGGGGTTTAAAATAATTATAGTTATTTATTGATTACCCTAGAATTTTAGGAGTATAAATTTATCTTTGCGGGAAGAAATCACATGATCTCCATATTTGCTCCATGAAAATCTCTCACTGTCGCTCCTTCAATCTAGCTTTTTTCTCTCCTCCCCCAATTCTTTCACACAGACCTCTCTCTCTCTAACTCCATCTCTCATTCCTTCGAAGCATTCAATGGCGGCTCTTCCATTCTTCACTATTTCAACCGCCTTTTTCAGGTCTCTCTCTTCTATACTTTTAATTTTTATAATCATGTATTCCACGTCGTCTGGCAGTTTGAATGATCTGTGAAATTGACCTTTCCCATTGAAGAAGAGGCTCCCTTAATTTTTATTATCTTTGCTTCATTCGATCGCCTGGATTTCTATACGATTCTTTGCGTTTTCTTGTGTTTTCGTTTTGCTTGTTTTCCATCTGTCTGGCGGTTGAATATTTTTTTTCACGCTGTTGTTTGCGGTTCGTTTGTGTATCGCCGTTGATCTTGAAGTTGTGCGTTGGATTGTGAAGTTTGAGCTCTTCATTGTTTGGACCTTGTGTTTTAGGTTGTAGTTCGAAACATAGGAGGTATGGTTTCTCCGCCGACGGGGGAGCCAGGACAGGTAAAGCGCGCGGTGATCGATTCGTCGGCTGGTGCAATTGCTGGCTGTGTATCTCGGACGGTCACGTCTCCTCTCGACGTGATTAAGATCAGGTTTCAGGTCGATTTTGGTTCCATTTGCTGCAATTGTTTGATTTTTAGGTAAAGTATAAGAGAGAAGAAACAAATGTTCGAAGCCACGAATTTAGGTTTTACGTTATAGGCTGTAAGAGCGAAAACGAACTTCAATTTTTCTCATCCTGCGAGAAAATTAACATAGATGCTGGATGAATTTGTGGTTGTTTTTATTATTTTAGTTCGAAGTTTCAATCTGTTACTAGTCTTTGAAGATGCATTGAGAACTTTTTCTTTCTTCGATGTTCTCCATTCCACTTCTTCTGTTCAGTGCCTCACAGTGGCTTTCTCTTGCGAAGCAGGATAGAGGCGTGGATATTAAGATTTTAATTATTCCAATTAAACTCTGTACGCTTGGAATTTTCATTGTAGAAATAGTGTCTTTATTTCATGATAGTCGTTTTGTGATTAACATAGCTGTTGCCTATCGCCAATGGTTAGCATTTTATACGAAAGAAAGGCCTCATTTCTGCTAGCTACGGGGTAAAATGTCCAGAAAATGTTGGAATTTAGTTATCTCTTGGTGGAAAGTACAAATTTATTCCATGCAGGAATTCCAGTGCCATTGTCTACGTCCTAATGAGATTTCTACTTTTAGTTTTGCTAATTTGTATCACTGTCCATTGTATCTATCTGTGATGAATGCTTATGCTCGCGTTCTTTCGACAGGTTCAACTGGAGCCGACAACTAAATGGGCTTTGGTTCAGAGAAGTTTGTCCGGACCATCAAAGTACACTGGCATGCTCCAAGCAACAAGGGATATTTTCAGGGAGGAAGGCTTACCGGTATATTGGTTATACATGTTTAAAAATAATGTAATATGCATTAACCAATCATCATGTTATGTTGTTCAACTTGTATTTACATTTGGTCAGTCTCACTAATGCAAGGAAGGAGTACGGCATTTGGGAAGATATTTTTGGAATTTTTTTTTTTGTAGGAACAGATTCTTAAGGAAAATTAAGTCACTTCCTTGATAATTCCTTAATAATTGATAATGGAGTCGTAGGGATTGAGAATAAGGAAAAGGAGAGATGATGTTTTTTCTAATCACATGGTCTCGAAAGTTCTTTGATGAAACTAAAGGTATTTATGGGAGATCGAGTAAAAATTTGTTTACAAAAGGATTGATTGAAAGCTATAGCTAATGCTGAAAAGTTCAAAGAAAACTTCACTCATATCTTCATGAAGTTGCTGATCCTAAAAAGTTCAATTCCAATCCACTGTTTATTCATTCTTGGTCTTGTTAATTGAGACATAATTAGTTCTTAATCTCGGGATAATACTATGCCAAAGTCGAATAAGTAAAGCTTTTAATTTTTCTAATTGCCTTTGAAGGCTCTAAATGTTTATGTTTTGTTCCTGTTCCTGTTGTATACTTCCTTCAACTCTATTTTTGTAACATCAAATGCTGAATGTTTTTCTCCTTTTTCCTTTCTATGAATTTCATGAACCCTGGAAATTGTAGCATGATATACTTTTCCACTTCTAAATCATTTCTATTCTGTTCATCTTTCGTGTAATTCACTCAGAGTCGCTTGTTATAGGGTTTTTGGCGTGGTAATGTTCCTGCTCTGCTCATGGTTATGCCATATACAGCTATACAGTTTACTGTGTTGCATAGACTGAAAACATATGCTGCTGGTTCTTCTAAGACAGGTACTATTTACCATTTACATCAGATGAATTTCTGTATTGCTGTATTATTTATCCATCCTAAGTGGAATAATTTTTCTTTTAAGTGGTAAGTTATCTGGGAGATAAAATGGTGGAAGGTGCTCCCACAACCATCCCAAGTTAATCTAGTAGTTATAGAGATAAACGATCTTTGAGATTCAAATCATAGTAATTATCTAGGATACTGATACTGATGTTGGAGAAGCAAACAATTTTCTGGCCTCGGTCTAAATTAGCCATATACCCGTACCCGTAGTTATAAAATAATAATGATTGATAAATAAATGTTTTATCCCCCTCATCCTCCTTCCCTTAAATTAGCATAGTGAAAGAAAGATTCATGTTCTTAAATATTAATGCACTTTAAGCTGTATTTGACTCTCTCTCTCTCTCTCTCTCTCATCCCCCTCATCCTCCTTCCCTTAATTTAGCATAGTGGAAGATTCATGCTCTTTATTTTCGTTTGATGCATTCTTCTTAAAGTGGCTTTAAGCTAGATACAACACAATGTTTTCTTCTTTCAATGAAATAAATGATACGGTGATACTAAACATTCTTGCCTGAATCCAGGAAGTTGATGTTTTGTTTGGTTACACAGGTTCTTTGATTCGACATCAGATGCCAATACTACTTGGCATTCAGAATTTAATTGTTTCTGCCTTTTTATTTATCAATTTTTCTTGTTTTTGTCTGATGCAGAGGCCCACTCACAGTTGAGCCCTTATCTTTCATATATCAGTGGGGCACTAGCGGGGTGTGCAGCAACCGTTGGATCATATCCGTTTGATCTTCTTCGAACTATACTGGCTTCACAGGGTGAGCCTAAGGTACAGAATCTGATCAATGACTTATTTTATATTAGGTCTCGTCTACAAATTTAAAGAATGATCTATATGTTGGTACACCTGTGTAGAATATAGAAATAGATTACATTTTCTCTTTAGAGAAAATGAACGAAGAATAATAGGTGTGGACAAATGCATACAAACAACTTTATTCTAGCATCAGCTTCTTATGATCAATATATGAGCATGCCACTTGGCTAAGAAGCCTTTGAGTTTGTTTTCCAATAGAATCGATACCATGTTCATCTAATAACTGTCGTTGTAGTTAGTAATGTGGCTATTGTAATGACGGGTCATACTCCCTATGAGTTGGCTAGTGGTCAACAAGTGTCCATGTGAATAATAAAGGGGTCGGTCGCCTAACTTAAATTTAATATCTTACAGTTACCTTGGGAACGAAATGTAATAGAGTTAGGCAATAGTTGAGGTTCCATAACTTTATGTTGTGTATGCACTTGTTTTAGTAAAAGATTTCTTTCAAGAAGATTCCTGATGCAAGAGTAACAATATGTTGTGTAAATATGTAGATATATCCAACCATGAGGTCTGCCTTAATTGATATAATTCGAACCCGGGGGTTTCGAGGATTATACGCTGGATTGTCACCAACACTTGTTGAGATTGTTCCTTACGCGGGTCTACAATTCGGCACCTACGATACATTCAAGCGATGGACTACAGCAAGTTTTCCATACCATTCTATTTTCTTTTACGAGCGGATATTGTTGTTTCTTATCTCACAGTTTTCCTCGAAATGATGAATTGCAGGTATGGAACCACCGCCGCTACCCCAATTCTGGACGAGCTAAAACGGAAGATGGGCTCTCAAGTTTTCAACTTTTTCTTTGTGGGTTAGCTGCTGGCACATGTGCAAAACTTGTTTGCCATCCACTTGATGTGGTTAAAAAAAGATTCCAGGTACACGGCTGAGCTGGTTTCTATTATTGTACAGTATTTATCGCACTTCAAAAGACGCTTTAGTATGACTTTTGAAAGGATGAAACGACACATTTAAATGCCTCCTTTAGAAGAAGAAACGCACTTTACACTTTTAAAAAATCCATCCCAAATTCATCTTATCAAGTCCTCCGTTGATTCATTTTCCACAGATCGAAGGGCTACAAAGGCACCCTAGATATGGAGCCAGAGTGGAACAGGCTTATAGAAACATGTTCGACGGCTTGCGGCGAATTTTGAAAACCGAAGGCGCTGCAGGACTCTATAAAGGCATAATCCCCTCAACAGTAAAAGCAGCCCCGGCTGGCGCTGTCACGTTTGTGGCTTACGAGATTACATCAGATTGGCTCGAATCTATTTTGACTTGATTCTAACATTGTTGATTTTGCATTTTTTTTCGTATCTAATTCTTTCCTGTAGGTTCAACAATAGGATGCCCCCATACGAAAAGGGCTGTTCTTTTTCTTTTTTTCTTTTTTACATCCTTTATAGATTGGATTGGAGTACAATGTAGAGATGACAGTGCTTTTAAGGTAGATAGCAATTTTGCCAAAAAGCACAAAATAAACCTCAAGGTTTATCCTCATTAATTATGAAGTGATTCGGTTTATCATAACCAATGAAAACATTCTTGGCAAGTCCTTACATAGTGTAACATCTCTCATATGCCTAAGAATTGAAGGCCCCAATTATCCCTTTGATCCTGAAAGGTCAATAGAATAGGATCAAATTTCTTGATATTATCCTATGGTTGATTGTAACCGAGCATAGATTTGATTTGAACACTCTAATTTTTTCAAAACAACAACGCAATCTAATTTTTTACATGAATTTCATATTTTTAAATATACTGTTTGATCGCATATTTAAAAATTGAAATTTTTAATCTACAAATGAAAAGCTGTGTGAATGACAAAATTCAATTTTGTATTTAAATTTTAAAAGTTGTGAAAAGCTGTGTGAATGACAAAATTCAATTTTGTATTTAAATTTTAAAAGTTGTTAGACAATTTAGATATAAACGAAAAATTTATACCTATATAGTTTTTTATTTTAGTTTTTGAAAAATTGTATTTATTTTCTCATCAATTCTTTTAATGATTTCTTTCTAACAAAAATAATAATAATAATATATATATATATATATAGTTAGAAAATCTTAGTAAAATTCTAAAAACAAAAGCTATTTATCTTAGGGGAGCAAAAGAAAATATAATCTAAAATAAAGGACACAAAAGATATGATCTAAAACCTCATCTTAGGGGAGCAACGCCCCTTCCCTCGTTTTCTTGGCTCCATTCCTGAAAGTAGTTCAACATGATAACAATGACTTTCAAAATTTAGTACAAAAAAATTAAGTTCAATGCTTAGTTAACCAATAAAAAAAAAAAAAAGAAGAAAGAACCTGTTATTAAGGATCCTTCTTTTTCTCTCGAAGACTGTCCTCTGGTGGCAGAGACAGAAACTGCAAAATCGTCTGTATTTGATGGACGCTGACACTATTACACCTTTCAGCAATTTGGTGAACGCATATTGGCCCCTCGAAGTCATCAGCCTTTCCTTCATTTAGGAGGATTATGTGGCGCATCTGTGCTACATTTAAAGTTCCTGGTGGGGCTGTGCGATCCTCGTATTTACTGGATTTTAGATCTGTATTTATTTGCTTTGGCATTGGTCTGTCATATCTCTCCACCACAGAGCCCTGTAACGTTATCAGTATCACCAAAATCAGATAAGAAGTACTATAAAAGACAGAAAGCAATGTTAGGCTATTAAAATGATAACCATTGTACTTGCTTTTTCAATGTTTCTCTACCACCCTTTAATTTCTCTACCTCCTCAGTTCTCGCTAATAAGAAGATAAAAAGTAAATAAATAAAAAATAATTTTTTAAAAAAAAAAACCTAAGTGACAAGCCATCCTTATCTGTGACGAGGCAAATTAAAATTTTCCTTCATGGTAGTTTATCTTGGATTTTTTTCTCCTAGAAAAAATTAAATTAGTTTCTTATGGAGCGATCATTTACTAAAGATTAAATAGTTATCATGTTATCAAATGATTGAACAATTTACTGTTATTCACTTGCAATATATATGAACTTTTATGAAATTTTGTGTATGATCATGACACTTGTTTCGCAAGACTGGTCAATAATCAAGGATTATTAATGGAAAAAAGAATAAAGAGAAAGCATCGGATCATGCACTAGAGTTCGAATCAATAGTAGAATATATGCAATGCCTCGTATTCTAGTTAGAGTAATTTGGCTGCTTTTCGTGGAAACTTACCTCCCTTATCTCAAGTTTTGATCCAGGCTTTGATCTAATTTCGACCCACCATATGGCTAAGCATGGCATCAAACCGTAGATCTCATTCCTCAAGCACATTTCCAGAATTACTTCCCGAGACACCACCTGAAAAACAGTTGGGAACGGTAAGCATTCAATTATATTATAACCAATGAGGCCATTCCCGCCGGCAAGAGAATTATCGGACTGACTTTGGAGAGATCTTAAGTTTCCATCTAACTGTTGGACAGTGCTGACTATTTACATTCATTATCCATAGTTATTGTTCAGAATTGTTCATAATTTTATAGGTAGTTTCTGCAGCGATTTGATCTTTATTCCTTTCCAGATTGACCGTCCCAAAAAATCAAGCTCATTATCCACATCTGATTATATAGAACTCATAGGATTCTATGGAACTGCATTCGATTCAATGGAGAAAGAGAATCGAACAAAAAGAGACTCCAACTGGAATGTCATTATGCTCCAGAAATAAAAAGAAAATCATCGATTAATCTCTAGCATCCAGAACATTTTCCTTGGCCTCTATGCTTTCTTTTCATGCTTAGACATTGGAAGCCTAAATCAATGGAAGCTAACGAAAAAAATACGCAATAGCAGAGCTGTCTCAATAAATACAACTGACAGAAATAGTATAATGAGAAGAAGGAAAAAGATACGATCTCAGAAGCAAGTGAACTGTCGAACTCAAAGCTCAGGACAAAAAATCAAATAAAACTGTAACCAGAATCAAATGCTCACATTAAACTGTTAAACTATAACCTCAGTTCTAAAAAAATCAAATACAAAGAGGAAAGAGCGACGGTGATGAACAGTAACCAGAAACATTTCAGTTCAGTGTGACAGAATCCGATAAACAAAAATGAAAGAAGAAACAGAGACAAAAGCCGATAAACAATGACGAACAGTTACTTCATTGACGATCAGATCAATGAGTGGTAAATGAGCTTAAATCAAAATTCTAGTGGAGAAATACTAGTACATTATCTGAGAAAGATAATCAATAACCGCATGAAATGAAAGAAAGAAAAAAAAGAACCAACGCGATTGAGAGAAACTGGTAGGAAAGGAACAAAAATAAAGCTCAGTATCGAAACCTGATGATCTACAGCGCATAGGAATTTTACGAAACTGCATTTAATTCAACAGAGAAACATAGTCCTTATTCAATAACCTTAAGCCTCTATTATCTAAGTTCCAGAAAGAATACTAAAAAACAAATCAGAGAAATCAAAGAAACGCAGCCAACGATTAACAAAATACAATTACCAGAATCATGAGCGCCGCTCTCCCGAGCCTTCTCGGCCGCACGCGGCGGAGGTTTCCAATCGACGACGCTCTCCATTTTCAACGAAGAGGCAGTGGAATCCACGCTCCAAGCCGGCTTGATTCTTTCCGCCGCTCGACGAAATGCCTGTCCCATCGCTTCCTTGTTCAAAACGAGAAGCGATCTTACTGAACGAACTGGAATCGGAGATTCAGAATCATTCGAAATTTGTCGCAGAACCAGCGTAAGAATCAAGAACCCTACGCGTGGGAGGGTTTAATGACTATATTTTCAGGAGAAATGGAGACGAAAATTGAAATGACGAATCGGTGAGTCGCAACTCGGTTTTACTGAGTTGCCGAACTCGAGCCGCTTTGAAGTTTCTGAAATGAAAGAAAGTTGGAGGGCGAACGTGGCCGATCCGGTTATTTTCATTGAAATGAAACTTGGCGTGGTATTTATATGTGTTCTTTATTAAACGAAGGTTTGTGATTGGATACATCTAAAATGGAAACAAATTAAACTATATAAAAAAGTGGAATAATATTTTTTTATATATAATTTATAAGTTAAATTTTTATAAATGAAAACAATAATAAGCTTTCCAAAGTTGTAGACTTGAGTTAACCTTTTTATTTATAAATGCTTCAAAAATATAGTTAGAGGAGAAAATATGTTAAATGAAAAGTCAACAAGTTTGAATGCCTCTTTGTAACGGTTCAAGTCCTAGCGCCAGTCATCAGGTGGTGTGTCAGCAAGAATGTTAAGCCTTGAAGTGGGGTGAACACTGACCGGTCGGTCAATAAGAGCACTGGGCTCCGAAAGGAGGTGGACTGTGAGATTACACATCGATTGGAGAGAGGAACGAATGTTAACAAGGACGCTGGGCCTAGAAGGGGTGAATTGTGAGCGAGCAAGAACACTGGACTCTGAATGGGGTGGATCGTGAGATCCCACCTCAGTTAGGGAGGAGAACAAAACATCTTTTATAAATGTGTGGAAACCCCACCTAGCAGACATGTTTTAAAATCTTTGAGAGGAAACCCGAAAGAAAAGTCTAAAGAACACAATATTTATTAAGAATGAGCTCGAATGATATCCGCTAATTTTGAAAGAATAAGAATACTTTTCAACTTTTGGTAGGACAGGCAACCAAGAAGATTTTAACTGTTGCTATATAAATATATATAAATAAACTGTGGCAACCAAGAAGTAAATCTCTTGTTTCGAAGCTTAATTAGATGCTATGATCCTTCTTCCAGGAACTAAGTTTCAAGCTTAGATAACACCTCACTATTACTATTGCTATTGCTTATACTGTTACTGTTACATGAGCTAACAACTGCTCTATCTTCAATCTTGAATTTTTCAATGCTAAGTCCCAAGTTCTCGGTAGGTCTCACCTTCGGACGAGCACGCTGCGGTGGCGGCCTCATCGTCGAGTTATCTTCCAGAAATGAATCCTTATACCTTCGCTTATGTTTGACGTCCAACAATCCTAAGGCTCTTGCTTCTAGCGCTCGAGCTGTCGGAGGTCGGTTTCGGCTACCAACTCTTCTTGAATTTGTTTGAAGCTGCTGATCAGACGTGCCCAGGACTTCAGAAGTTTTAACTGCTCGAGGATTCCCTGGTTCCTTGCTCGTTTGGTCGGGCTGTCCTTCTCGCATTTCCATTACAACAGGTTCGTCAATTTCTGCGTCATGAGGAACTGGCAAGTTCAAGTCTATTAAGGTACGGGATTGATTGAGGTCGATATCCTTCGAGTTTCCATCGAGGCTAGATATGGGACTGCATCCAGATGAATCAGAAGATTTCTTCTGAGAAGGAGCTGCACTAGGGAGGACGTTCTTACTAGTATCAGCGCCATCTTTAGAGCAGCAGACAGCATCCTCCTCTTTCGGTTTGGAAGCTACTGAAACATTACTCGTCGACTTCAAACTACAAGCCTGTAGTCTCCTGCGTTTTTTGGTAACATTAGCTGGTTTCCTTTTGTTGTCGGATCTCGCTTTTTGGCTAGACTGGTTCATAATACCGTTTCGAGGTCGAGTGCCATCGAACGGTAAGGAGCTGCAGTCCTTCGAAACTTCTGCATGTGAATCTGTAGAATCTAGTTCACTAGCTGGAAGCCCTTGGTTTGAAGCATCAGCTGGAGAACAGTGTCCATTCGAGTAGACCATTTGGTCCTTGTTTCTCCTTGAAGCTTGAGAAGTATAGACAGTCTCGGCCTTGTCAGAATGGCGATCCTCTTCTGAATCAGATTCCTCCAATGATCCGTTCGAAGAGTATAGGTATTTATTTTCGAAATAAGATCGTGGGGAAGAAAAACTCAGTATGTCGACTGGTAAGTTTCGAAGTTCTCGGAATTTGGTTGCACTTCCATTAGCTAGACTGGTGTCGACAACGGTGAACTTCACAATATCGCTGCTCGATGGAGTTCTTGGCTTGAGATAACAATGGCGTTGCTGAGAAGGAAAGTCCTCGTGGTCCACTTTCGAGTCATCGGTCCACCCATTTTCTTCCTTGCTCTTACAACCTTTATCGACATTGTTGTCGAGCTCGAGCAGTCCAGGATCCAAAGCAACTTTACCGAGGACGTCGCTAATTGAATCAAAATAATGGTTTCCCCTTACCAGCCTTCTCCTTGAAAACTTTTTGATACCCGGGACAAGAAAGACCAATGAATGCTTTGTACCAGTGGTAAAACCATTACTCGGCTGCTCGGAGTGCCATCCCCGAGCAAGCAAACGGGGCCAAACAGCTTCCCAGAAGAGATCGTTAGATCGGGCTTTGCTCAACCTGAAATCTCCTGTTAGATAGTTGACAATTTCTAGGGGAGTAAGGGCAGAACATGCTTTCCCAATAGGTATCTCGGGACGGATAGAAGTAACATGGTTCGACTTTAGAGGATCCATCGAAACGCATGTAAGATCTTGCTTCCCTCGCCCGATTCCCACTGCCTCCACAAACGCTTCCAATCCAACCTTAGCCTTTAAAGCAAATACATATTCCTCGAACGACATTTTGCCATCTCCAAATACTTTTGTGACCTGACAATGCATACAAATATTAGAGCAAAACAAACAAATGCAGCATCACAAATAATACGGACAGCACGTCCACAGACTAAGAATTACTCGATGGCTTAGCATTACATAAAAACTTGAAGCTACTCGTCTAACTACCGTCATGTTCGCATAACAAAAATTTTAAGTTGAAGCCAAAACGGGCCATCTTTTGTTGTGAATACAAATCTTTCGAAGCGGGGAATAAAAAAGATAACGGTATTATATGCACCACGAACTCAATTAGATTGCTTCTGTGTATAGATGCATCACTTATAAGATAATCAGGAGTTCAAAGAGAAGAAGCTGAGCCATAAAACTCGTGCGACACAATTATCATGATGGTTAAAGAAGCATTATGCTACAAGCGGACTAGACCGAGCGGTGATTTTCTAACAGGTTTCTTTTATGTTTGATCTTAGCTCAAAAGATCTATACCGAGCCAACGCAAACAACCTACGCAAGTTAAAGTTGGTATATGGTGAAGCATAAGCGTACCTCCGTTAATGAATTTTTGCAATCCTCTGGTACCAGAAGAAGCAACCGAGAAACCAATTCCTGTTGTCGCCAACCTTTAAACAACCTCTGTCCATAGATGCATTTTCTGCCACGAGCATTCCGACACTCAGACCATCGGCGGTATTTTTCAGATCGATAAAACCTTCCATAGTAGAACGACAGAATATCCCCCATCTGTTTGCTTCCAACAAACTTCTTTACCAAAACAAGGTTTTTCCCAAATATGTACAAACCAAGCAGGAAGCTGGCCTCTTCTATACTACTCCAAGGTTCACCGAACACACCGGGAACCAGATATCGACCATCAATATTATCCTTCTGATCTGTTGCAAGTGCAGTTTCTTTCGGTAAAGCTAAATCTGCTGCTTTACCGACCATTATTGTACTACCCGCCATCATCTCCATTGCCTCAATGTTCAACTTTGCATCATCGACTATCTGTTCAGCTTTCAAGACCTCATTTTTGTCGTATTTCTCAACCAAATCTTCACATAGCTTATGATCCATCGAATGAACCTCCTTGGAAATCCACATTACCTGAACGGGCAATCCCACGAAAAACTCTTGGAGGTCATTAGCCTGAGTTTCTGCCTCCTTGTAACTCCGAAGCCAGTTTATATCCGATTTCGACAATAGAGGAGGAACTTCAACTTGGTATTCCTCACCGACTCGAGGAGAAACCTCTGGATCTAAAAACTCATCGCATATTTCAGAAGTATCCTGAGAAACTGAACGTTCGGGAGATCTATCCTCATTGTCATTGCTGTAATGGTGATTTTCTTTTACCAAATCCATCTGCCAAAGAGAAACCAGTTTAGCACCTTTCATAAACTCGTCCCTTCCAAATCCGTTTCAGTTCAAGGTTTAGAACGTTCTTAAATTCTCGTGACGATCTTAGCTTAGCATCATCTTCTATTACTAAGTTTAAAATGACAGGAAACACTAAAACCCTCCAATAGTAACTCAGTTCAGCATTAACAATGACAAAAAACTAGACAACTTCAAATCATTACAAGCTCCAAACCAAAATGCCGACCTTCATTCGCAATTTGAATCCTTAAAAGAAGAACAAACTCAAATTCACAAGAACATAGTCACCAATATTCATCAAAATTCTTCAAACAGATTCCATAAACCAGCCCAAACAAGGATTAAGCTCCAAAAATCAAGTGAATTAACTCAATCCAGATCCACTTTCCACTCCAAAATAAATAAATAACCGAAAGAAAAATCTCACTAAGGTAAATGCCACTTGAACAACTTCATTAAGAACAGATGAACAAATGAACAAATTAAGCCATCAAAAAAAAAAAAAAAAAAAAAAAAAAAAAAAAAAAAAAAAAAAAAAAAAAA